AATTATTATCAAAATTTCTTTTAAAACATGTTAATTTTAGGTTATTGCCTCCCTCATGTACACCTTTAAAATTCAAAGAAAACATTGCTCTAGGTACTTCAGCTTTACGTTGCCCACATTTGATGATTTTAACTCTTCCCTCTTCAATAATTTTTGTTCTTTTTTCTAAGCATTAAAGAATTGTTTATTTCTGTATTCATAATGCTAGACCAAAGAGTAATAATGAACCCCAATTCCAAATTCAAGAAATTTCCTAGAGTTGAGGCACATAAAAATGAAAAGTCATTATCTCCTTGAAAGTGGAGGCATAAAAATTATAGCACAAAATACTAATGTAGCTTTGATTATTAATTAAGCAGAATTAGGTATTCCCTCTTCTGTTTCTATATCATTTTACTGTACTTTCATTATAGCTTTTCTTGTTTTGCATTACAAATACTTCTTATTATGTAGGTTGCTTTCCCAGATTCATGGGTGGAGCCAATGACTTAGATTTTTATTCCTCAATACTTAGCAAAGTCTAAAACTGAAAATGTAGCAAGAAAATGGTATATTGGATAGTACAAAAAGTTTCCTAGTATGAGTATTAACATGTACTGTTTGAGTGATGGTATATGTAAGGATCCTATGTTACAATACATAAATAATTTTAAGTGATCCATTTTTTTATATTTTCATACTTTGGAAATATGATTGCTTCTCCAACTGATGACCCCTTAAAGTTGCTGTGGGCTCAACAAGAAATGATGGGATGTAGTTGTTATTGCCTGTATAAGCCAGACCTAGTTAAAGCCATTTGTGTTATATACTTCAGGTGAGTTTTGTATACTTATGGTACTGCATGCATTGAACTTTACTTCAGAAAGATTGTGTTATGACTCAGAATTGAAACAAAACTTGTCTAGGCAGAATGACATTGAGGCATGCCACATAGTAGGAGAATGTTGTTAATTCTGTGTCATACACCCAATAGGTATTACTTTTAGTCATCATTTATAATTCTAGCATGTTATTTATTCTCAAAGAATGAGAATAAAATAAGAAATTACCAGCAAGGATTAAATCTGATATTAGTGAAGCAAATATGTTTAGTTATATACACAAGAGCTCTTCAACTAATTAAATAAGAAATAAGAGCATGTGAGGCCTTGGGTTCAGTTCCCCATCACACCCCCCACCACACCAAAAAAAAATTCTTGTCATTTTAAATTGACAAGAACTTTTTAAAGGGGTACATAAAACAGTAATAATTCATGGTCTCTTATTAGTTTTGATGAAATATAGAATTTTTTCACTGTGACCTGCCTAAGAGGAGAATGGACTTTCAACAATTACTTATTATGTACTAGGAGGTGGAAGACATGTTGAAGACTAGAAAATGATACAACATCATTCACATCTAGAATAAAGAACATTCCAAAAATTGTATTTTTCAAGCATCTAAGTTAAGAGACTGAAAATCAAGTGATTGATTACTTAAAAGCTAAAAAGACTCGGGTACTGGGTAGTAATCAGTGTGGTTTTATGAAGATCCAATTCTGTCAATTCAGTTTAATTTTTCTTTTTGGAAAAGTGTGTGCTTTTGAGACCAATAATAGGCCTAAGGGAAATAAATCAAGAGCAAAACTTTTGTTTCAATTTTATATGACATTATAAATGGCAAATTGGGAAGATGGGTATAGATCAGACGTTTGAGTGAATGTTGTTCCAGAGGTATAGATTAAGCAGTCAGTAGCCTCTAAATATTTCTTATATATGACTAGTCCATTTAACTAACTTATTGACCTCTTTCTTAATTCCATTTTCTGGCAGCACATAACATAAAACAAATCAAAATGACCTTGGACAAATTGGTGCTAGTTTTGATTAAACACAGATATAGTTTTGGTAATGACAAAGAAAGATAGTATTCTGCCTTTTGAGATATAATCTTTTTTCAGGTAAGGGAGTTGAAAAAAAGATATTTTGAGGTCCCTCAAATTTTAATATTAATTAATTTTTAAAAAATGAGTGACTTGTAATATTATGTATGTTATATTGTGATAATTTAACAAGTTATTATTTAGAATTATGTTAAGATATATAATAAATTTTAAATATTGAGTATCCCCAAAGTTATCTTTTTGGTTGCTTAATTTTTGAATAGAATTTTTGTATTAAAGAAATAATAATTATTCAAGACTTTGAGCATTTATAGTTACTAATCATGATGAGCAATATGTTTTTATTTACTTGAGGCAAGCCACATAGTAGAATGTTCTTAATTCTGTGTCATATATCCAATAGGTATTACTTTTAGTCATCATTTATAATTCTAGCATGTTATTTATTCTCAAAGAATGAGAATAAAATAAGAAATTACAATATTTTAATTATATCCAGATTATGAGACAATTAATAAGTTAATCTCAGCATTTTGTGCTGTTTCAAGGTCATTGTGTGCTGGTTATAAAGATTTCTAAATGTGTCTGTTCCTTTGCTGTATTTGCACCTTAAATAATTTGAGAACAAGATGTAAATTCATCCCTTCTTCCCTTTTAAAGCATTGATAATTCAGGTTTAAGAGACAAGAGAGAATAAAGTTATTAAACACATGTTAGTTAACTTGTGCCACATTTTAAGTGATGCTCTTGTTGCTTTTGTAGGGGTCATCAATGACTTCCATGTTCCTAAAGTCTCTGGTTAATTTTCAGTGTTCTTTAATTTTCTAGGGCATTTCTTACTGGTGATCCTTTCACACCACTGTCTTCTTGACTTCTCTTCTGCCTTTCTAGTCTCTGCTCTTTTTTCTTGCTTGCACTTGATCTTCTCATGACTTCTTCGAATTGGGTGCCTCAGGGCTCATTTCATTGTTCCCTTTCTGTCTATACTCAGTCCCTTGGAATCTCATTCTGTTTCATTTGCTTTGACCATCTATACGCTTATGACTCTCAAAGTCATATTCCTAGCCCACAGTTCTTCTCCAGATTCCCAATCCTATAACCAAAGCCACTGTCCCTCTTTCCTTGAATATCTAGCAGACACTGCAGATGTAATATTCAGATGAAATCCCAATACTTTCCACCCCTGCCACCTGCTTTACCTTGTAGACTTCTCCATCTCAGTTAATGGCAGCTCCAATCTTATTGCTCAGTTGACTCTTTTTAAAAATATCCTCATCCAATCTTTTAAGAAATCTTATTGGCCCTACTTTCAAAATGTACCAACCTCTTCCCGTCATTTCCAATCCTGCCTCCTAGGACAACAACTACCATCTCTTCCCTGGATTTTTGTAGTACCCTCTCAACTGTTTGCCTTGTTTCTGTCCTTGCCCCCCGCCTTTTTTTTCTCCTCTGAAACACAGCGTACAGAGTAATTATCAGAAAAGCCTAGTCATGTTGCACATCTTAAAATCCTCCAGTTGTTTCCCACTTTACTCAGAGTAAAAACTGAAGTTCTCATAATTAGTATAAAAACAATCTAGTCCCTTTGTTATTTTTCAGACCTTGTCTCCTGAGAGTTTCCCCCTTTACTCAGCCTTTTAAATCCCCTTGCTGTTATTGAAACACACTAGGCATGGACCCACTTCAGGGCCTTTTCATTAGCTGTCTTTTTGCCTGAAACACTTTCTTTAATACTTCCATGCCCATTCCATACACTTCATGGTGGCAGTGGACACTTTTCACCAAAAATCATTTATAGGGTACCTATACTGTTAACCTGCCCAACTCTGACTTGAAGTCTTTGCCTAAATCTCATTTTTTCTGTGAAGTTAATCCCAATTACTTAAGATATTTGAAGTCATCTTATATCTCCTTATTGATCTAAGTTGTCCATCCACTCTGGCCTTGAACCTGGAATTTTTCTGCCTCAGCTTCCTGAGTAGCTGGGATAATGTTTTATTTTTTTCCCCACATTGAATGTTTGGAACAATAGCTGGTACACAGTAGGTGAGTAATATGTGTTGAATAAATAATATAAGTTATGGATTTAAAAATGTATTCAAAATAGGGAAGAATCAAACCAATGAATCTCTTAAATGTATTTCATCAGATACTTATTTGTAGGGTATTAAAACTTAATTTTTTACAAAACATCATATCTTCCAACTGAGTTTATCCATATGTGCCTTATGCCACAGAAAGAATCAATAGTTTATATTCAGAAAACAGTACCGTATCATGAAACAAAGGAGTTTAAAGTGAAAACAACATTCACTAGCTATGTTTGATAAAACTTAATTTTTTTTTCCAGTACTGGGAATTGAACACAGGGGCCCTTTACCCCTTAGTTACAGCCCTAGTCCTTTATTTTTATACTTTAAGACAGTGTCTTGCTAAGTTGTTCATGCTGACCTTGAAATTGTGATCCTCCTGTTTCAGCCTCCCAAGTCACTGGGATTATAGGCATGTGCCTCTGCACCTGGCTTGATAAGACTTTTGCAAGTTTAATTTGCATTTATAGATCTTCAAGAGGCAGTTAAAAAATCCCTGTATGTTATTTATTGATTTAGAAATAATATTATAATTTGCTTGTTATTTATGGTACACTGCAGTAAAAAAAAGTGTGTGATTCAAATATTGACTAAGTCATTAACATCATTAGAGAATTAAGCTGCAATAATTTTTAAGTTGGCTAAGTAGGAGAAATGACATATTTGTAATATATTTTTATCACAATCTGGTACTCTTTCTGTAAAATGATGGTACAGTCAGCGTCTTCATGTTGGTACAAGGAGTAAGATGAGGTTTTTCTATGTTGCCCAGGTTGGTTTCTAACTTCTCCTACCTTAGCCTCCCCAGTAGTTGGGATTAGAGGTGAGCACCACCATGCCTGGGATATTTGTTTGTTTGTTTGTTTGTTTTTAATTATAGGAAAGAGCTTTTACAAGAGGATTTATAACAACAAAGTTGGTTATAATATTCTAAATCAAAAAATACTTATCCATAGTACAAAAACTCTGAAAATCATTTCATATATAAAGCATCCATGAAGTGATTTGGATAAAGGAGTTGGCTTACCTTCTTCACAGTTATGATACCAACTTGGAAATTGGGATCTGTGTTAATGTCAAAGGCATCTGCACCATCTCCATCCACAATAGTGTATTTCATCTCTGCATTGATTCCTTCATCCAAGTCCTTGGCAAACACTCTTCCCACAGTGGAGCTAATTGGAGCTGATTCCAGCACACTCATTTGATAATGTTCTGTGAAGGAAAGCAAGAACATGCATTGTCACTACAAAATAAATAAAAAAATAAATAAATGAAAAGCCTTGTCATTATCACATCTTATCAGGCATTCTGTGCAAAATATCTTTTTCTTGGTTTAAAATTAAAGCTTCAGTTTTATCAGATGAAAACGGAGGTCCTCAGAGGCTAAACAGGTATAACCATAACCTATACTGAATATTCAATAAAGAGGAAGCAAAATAACTTTTTGACTATAACCCTGAAAGCAGGACAGAATAAAAGCAAAATTATTTCTCATTCTAGTGAATCTACCTACAGAGTGGTAGGAAGTATGCTGCTTCCTAGTCTTTTAGTACTCCACAATGAATGGAAATATTTCCCAAAAGTCAATTCCTTTTTTTTTTTAAGTCAATTCCTTTTGAGAAAGAAAACAACAAAACAGAATAAAAACCCACATGTCACAAATTGTACATATTTATTCTGTTTACATTTCTTTTCTTTTCCTTTTGTGGTAGGATTGAACCCAGGGATGCTTTACCACTGAACCACATCTCTAGCCCTTTTTATTTTTTATTTCCAGACGGGCTGTGCTGCTAAGGATGGCCTTGAAATTGTGATTCTTCTGCCTCAGCCTCCCTAGTAGCTGACTATTTAGTTTGAAATGCCCACATTTTCTTTCATGACCTAGCTGGTGTTTTGAGTACCTATCTCTATAACCACCTGCCTAGAACTGATGTAGACCAGTGATCTATAGAGGAACAGCCACAGAGAGCAAGTTCTACCAGCTCCATTGTAGGGTTCATCAACATTTCTTGCAGCTGGGACCCTCTGTCTGCCTCTTCGTGGACAGACCCTGATGTTTCCTGTCTTCTTGTTCCAGATCAAAAATATCCCCACATATGTAAAAAGCTCGAAGTGGTGATGCTTTGCTTTTTGACTTGACATTTCTGATTTACAATTAAAGTTAGTTCCTTTTCATCTCTATGAAGTTGTATTTTTGTTAACTTACCTTCTTTGGGGCTCAACATTTTTGATGTGCTTCATTATTTTGTCAATTATAGACTGACTAACAAAACAAAATCATAATCACAGTTTTGATATGTATGTGATCTCTTTTATGCATCAAAAGGTCTGGGAAGCCTGGGGCATAAGGGCTTTTTTTTTCCATAAAAATTTGGGGAGGCTGACACCCCAGGTAGCTCACAGCACTCCACCTTGCACAGGAGAAGAAACGATACAATTTCTTACAAAAATGAGTCAGGAAATCTTTGTTGTACTAAGCTTTCAGTCACATGGATTTTATGATCTCTTTCCATTCACTTCCAAAGTTGTTGATGGATTATGCTTTGCTATTGAAGAACTTTTCAGAAAAACAAACCAGCATCTGCCTACAACATTCTCCCACACCAGGAAAGCTATATTGTGTTTAAAAATATACATATACTTTCTACATGTGATGCATTATATTGGAAATAAATAACTTGAGATCTTGATATTTCATTATAAATTGTTCAGTGAAAGGGGACTGAACTTGTTTTAAGTGTAAAAGAGGAGGCATGTCATTTTGTCATAGCTCACAATCAGCTGTGGTAATATTTGTGGAAAAAAAAACTAAATAGAATTTCTACAGTGAGGAATCAAAAGAATGAGGCAGAAGAGTTCATCTAGAAAAATTCATTCAGATAGATTTTTGAAATAGATTGTCTGAACTTAGGTTTAGCAAATAGATGGGGAAATATTTAATGATGAGTTAAAGTAAAAATTTTAAAAAGTCCAAAAGTAACGACCATCTTAGAGGAAGCAGTTAATGTGTGAAAATTACTTAGAGACAAATTTAAATTACTTATGTTTCTCTTTTGTCTTTCATGAAACATATTTCATGCTTCCACTCTATTCCTAGATTCTCCGTTATTACTGAAATTTGAAATAGTGAGTACTCAAAATATATGCTTTAGAATGGCATTAGGATTTTGGTTTGAGAGGTGTTCTTGTCAGGTCTTTTGGTCACAGAGATGAATAATCTGACTAATACAGGAATTTGTTATGGTTTAGATATGTCAACATACTTTATATACAACCCATGTGTGAGACAGTGCAGGAATATTCAGGGGTGAAATGGTTGTATTGTGAGAGTTATAATCAGTGGGTTAATCCACTTTTAAGTAGTTCAAGGATTCTTAAGAATCTACAGTGTACAATGTGTGCAGAGAGTCATTCTGAGCTATAAAGACTGAATACTCAAAAGCCCATGTGTGAGACAGTGCAGGAATATTCAAGGGTGAAATGGTTTTATTGTGAGAGTTATAATCAGTGGGTTAATCCACTTTTATGGATTAACTAGGTGGTAACTGGGCAGGTAGGGTCTGGCTGCAGGAGGTAGGTCACAGGGGTGTGATTTTGGGGTTTATATTTTGTCCCTGATAAGTGGAGCTCTACCTCTGCTTCCTGGTTGCCATTTGCTGAGCTGCTTTCCTTAGCTATGCCCTTATGCCATGATGTTCTTCATCTTGAGCCCAGAGCTATGGAGTTGGCTAACAATGGACTAACTTCTGAGACCTTGAGCCAAAATAAGGGGCTAGACTAAAACTCTAGGCATTGTGCTAAGTGGAGTTAGCCAATCCCCAAAAAACAAATGCCAAATGTTTTCTCTGATATAAGGAGGCTGACTCATAGTGAGGTAGGGAGGGGGAGCATGGGAGGAATAGATGAACTCTAGATAGGGCAGAAGGGTGGGAGGGAAAGGGAGGGGGCAGGGGATTAGCAAGGATGGTGGAATGTGATGGACTTCATTATCCAAAGTACATGTATGAAGACACGAATTGGGTGTCAACATACTTTATATACAACCAGAGATATGAAAAATTGTGGTATATATGTGTAGTAAGAATTGTAATGCAAAAAGTACATGTTTAAAGACATGAGTTGGCGTAAACATACTTTATATACAAAGATATGAAAAATTGTGCTCTATATGTGTAATAAGAATTGTAAGGCATTCCACTGTTGTGTATTTTAAAAAAAATAAGATCAATTATTACAAAACAAAACAACAAAAACCTGTAGGCATTGTATTATGTTATGTTGTTGTGAAACTGCCATGTTTAAGATTACATCCCTCAAAATGTCCAAATCCATATGCATTTGAGCTGTGTTGTGTGTAATAACTTGGTTCTTCTGTCCTTTGTACTTCTATCAGAGATACCTGTTTAATTTCAAATTTAAGAAGTTAAGTAGTTCAAGGATTCTCAAGAATCTACAGTGTTCAATGTGTGCAGAGAGTCATTCTGAGCTATAAAGACTGAATATTCAGGATCAGCAAAATAACAAAAAGCCACCCCATATGATATCCCACAGTCTGTTCCATGATGATCTGTGTTTTGTACTGCAGGCCCAGTCAACTTAGTAGCCTGCTTACTGTACCATATATGAAATGCTTGTCTAGTATCCTGCCTTTTTCTTGCATGAATGCTCATGGGAACTTTGTGTATTCCAGTTGGATGTAAATATTTGAGCTCTCTTCCTGAATTTATATAGCTAAAATTGAAGGTTCACTTATTTGGCTGATTCACAGTGCAGCTATTCAGCTGATAGTCAGACTTGACTCTTTCTGTTTTCAATTTATTTATTTATTTAATTCTTTAAAATTTCCCGGCTAAGACTTTCACCTGAATTGCATCTGCTGCTCTTACTTCCCCAGTTTGCTCCCTTCAGGCATTCACTTTCCAAACGCATGTCTCCATTCCCGGCTTCATCCACTGTCATCGCTCTATACTTCCACCTTTCTGAAGGACACTCAGCCTGATTGTTCTGCTGTCACTTCATATTCAAAATCTGAATCCGTCTCTCTCCTTCCCTGCTGATAGATCCATTTTATATCCTCTATTTCTATCAACAGTACAATCCTTCTGTCAGATTTTAACCATTGTTTTCATTTTTGACTCCACCCTCTGCCTCATATCCCTTAGCTAAGAAATCAAAAGGCAGAAGTTTGTGTTTTCATATTTGTTCCACTCCACGCCTCCTGCTAGTTCCATAGTCTGTCCTATGAGCTCAACTCTGTACCCTCCGAAAGCCTCGTAACACACTCCTCCACTTCTTGTTTTTTATTTGTTCTAATTAGAGATACATGATAGTAGAATGCATTTTGACATGTCATATATAAATGGAGTACTACTTCTCATTCTGGTTGTACATGATGTAGAGTTATACAGGTTGTATAATCACATATGCACACAGGGTAATAATGTCCAATTCACTCTATGTCATTCCTACCCCCTTTCCTCCCTGCACTCCCTTCTGTCTAATTCAAAATACCTCTATTCCCATCTCCCTTATTGTGAGTTAGCATATGCATATCAGGGAAATCATCCAGCCTTTGGTTCTTTGGGATTGGCTTATTTCACTTTGAATAATATTCTCCAGTTCCATCCATTTACCGGCAAATGCCATAATTTCATTCTTCTTTAAGGCCGAGTAGAGTAATATTCCATTGTATATATACATACCATGTTTTCTTTACCCATTAATCTGTTGAAGGACACCTAGGTTGGTTTCATAGTTTACTATTGTGAATTGAGCCACCATAAACATTGATGTGGCTGTATCACTATAGTATGTTGATTTTAAGTCCTTTGGCTATAAAACTAGGAGTGGGATAGCTAGGTTAAATAGTGGTTTCATTGCAAGTTTTCTGAGGAATCTCCATACTGCTTTCTGGAGTGGTTGTACCAATTTGTAGTCCCACCAGCAATGTATGACCCTCCTCCACTTCTAGTCTCTGATTTTGCCATTCCATCTTGTACATGGCTATCAAATTATCCTTCCTTTATGTCTTTTACTCAAAAATTATTCTGTGGGGTTTCATTTAAATTCCAACACATTTGAAAGATTAGGTCTTTGTTTTAGGAGGTTTTGAGCATAAAATGACATAAGCAAAATTTTCAGGCATATATAAAAAACACATGCACATATCTATGTGTTTCTTACTTGCAGAATTTTACTCAGATGAGCTCTAGGAGAGTAGAGAGTTTGTTTCTTTTGTACACCTCCGTGTCCCTCATCTAGAATAGTATCTGGAACAATATTTCTTGAATGAGTGAATGACTTCCTAATTCTGGAATATTTTCCTTCCTTTCTATTAAAGACCTTTGTATTATTCAGTTCTCTGTTCAATTCTTATCCTTCTATGAAGTCTTTATTCACCTTAGTTTCTTATGAACAAAAACCAACTCATATGCATGTCACAAACTGTTTCATGACACTTTATTGTTCTTTAGTGAAGGACCCATCAACTTAATAGCCTCAGTTGGGGAAAAAAAGTATGAAAAGGTTCCATAGGGAGGAAATAATGAAAAGTTTGGGGAACAGAGATTTTAGTGCTATGGAAAGCTGAAGCCCAAAAGGAAACTGGTTGTGTAAGCATTGCACAATGGAACTACACTGAGAATTCATCTTACTCCAACCAGAATGGCAATTAGTAAGAATACAAGTAACAGAAAATGTTGGTAAGGATGTGGGGAAAAGGGTACACTCTTACGTTGTTGGTGGGACTGCAAATTAGTGCAACCGTTCTGGAAAGCAATATGGGGAGTCCTCAAAATACCAGGAATGGAACCACCATTTGACCCAGTTATATACTCCTTAGTACGTATCTAAAGGAGTTAAAATCAGCGTACTTCAGTGATATAGCCACATCAATGTATACAGCAGCACAATTCACAGTAGCTAAGCTATGGAACCAACCTAGATGCCCGTCATCAGATGAATGGATAAAGAAATTGTGGTATTCTTTATTCAGCCATAAAGGAGTTAGAGAAGATAAGATATTCCAAAAAGATAAGATATTCCAAAAAACCAAATGCTGAATGTTTTCTCTGATATAAAGAGGCTGATTCATAGTGGGATAGGGAGAGGGAACATGGGAAGAATAGATGAACTCTATATAGGGCAGAGGGGTGGGAAGGGAAGGGAGGGAACATGGGGTTATAAATGATGGTGGAATGTGATGATCATTATTATCCAAAGTACATGTATAAAGACATGAATTGGTGTAAGTATACTTTGTATACAACTATATATATATATATATGTGGGAGGCCAACCTTACGGGTGACTGAGTTACACTCCCCAGCTGGGTGCTGAGGTGCTCAGTCACAGAAATGGGTGTGTCTTGCTACAGCCCCATGGGTGACGCTATGCTCACCTGTTCCTTTGTAATATAACCCCTTGCCCTGTTTAGGATAGAATCTTCCATGGAAGTGACTTGTGTGTGTCCCCTCCTCTTACTGTGCCCTTGGGTGTGGCCTACCCAGGTGTCAGTCAACCTGCTGACAGTGGACATCATGAAGATAGACTCAGCCCCCTGAAACCTGACCCCCTGCCTCATTTGAATAGCTTCTCCTCAATAAAAGGGGTCAGCACGTGCTCTCTCTCTCTCTCTCTCTCTTTTTCTGCGGACCCTTAAGGTCAGAGGAGCCGTCACAGCAACCCCAAAGAAAAAGGTATTTGTGTCTCTTGTGTGGTTATTTCGTGCAGCCCAGTTAGCCCAGTTTAACTAGAGTGACCCCTGAGCCTTTTAGTCGCGAGAACAGAAACCTGGCATATATATATATATATATATATATATATATATATATATATGCTCTATATGTGTAATATAATGCATTCTGCTATCATATATAAATAAAATAAATAAATACTTAAAAAAAGAATAATGACTTTTTGAGATTCTCTGGTTAATGGATGGATCTGGAAACTATCATTCTGAGTGAAATAAGTCAATCCCCCAAACCAAAGATCTGATTTTCTCTTTGATATGTGTATGTTAACCCACAATAAGGGGTGGGGGAAGAACAGTTCATTCGATTAGACAAAGGGGAATGAAGGGAAGGAAAAAGGGGCCTAGGAATAGGAAAGACAGTGGAATGAATCTGACACAACTTTTCTATGTACATATGGGATTACACCCCAGTGAATCTCACTGTTGTGTACTTCCAGGAGACTGGGATCCTAATTAGAATAAGATATAGTCCATGCTTGTATAAATACATCAAAATAGATTCTACTGTCATGTATAACTAAAAAGAAAAAAAAAAGAATTGCACAATGAGTATAGGGAAGAAATCCAAGAATGATTGCATTTAACATGCTGTCCTTTCTCCTGCATTTCTGTAAAAGATGCATCCCTATGGGTTCTGGTTGGTTAGGTACTCACTCTGGGGGAAGCGGGGTGGGTTATCATTGACATCCGAGAGGGTGATGTTGACTGTTGTGGTCCCAGCTAATCCCCCGAGCTGCCCTCCCATGTCCTTGGCTTGTATAATCACTTCATAGTACTCTTTGGCTTCTCTGTCCATGTTCATGAGCGCTGTCCTAATTACACCTGCAGGATAGAAATGACTTTGTTTTAAAAACAAAACCATAAGTGCAGTTTTTAAAAGATTCACTTTTAGGTTTCTTCCTTGTGCATGGTAAATGCCCAGAGTTGAGATGTATGTCACCTGTTTTATGAAACTCAAGGTAAAAATTCCTGCTTCAAAAAAGTTTCTCTGCAACAAATGTACTGTTTCAGCAGAAGAACAGCTAGTTTCCTTTGGTGGTGACATTACCAAAAGAGAACGGGAGATGGCAGCAATGGTCCTCTTACCACTAGGGGAATTGCAGTTCAAGGAGATTTCAGACTGCTCAGTCTCACCAAAGAAAACTGGGGCTTTGAGTTCAGAAAACAAAGCCTCATATGTCTACACATCTGTGATTTTAGATAATTCTCATTCAGCTGTTTCTCTCTTCAACCCCTAGAGCCCTTGTAATGTGAATAACTCTTTTTAGATAACTTGCTCCTGTTCTGCCTTTTCCTGCCTCCCCACTACCTGTAAGTAGTATTGGAATTCTCATTTGATTTTCCTTTTGTTATATATTTATTCTGTTTTGTTATTTTCTTCTTACCTCTGTGCTTCACTGAATTCTGTGAGCTTGGACATAAAAGATGCTCTGCAAGTTGTTTATTTTTACCTTGTATGAAAATGAAGTTCCCCAGATAGTAAGTAGCAGCATAGCAGTGTGATGATAAGGTTTCATTTAAGAAGAGGGGTCTAAACGAAATCCACTGAAATGTGTTTTGATCCTGGCCAGGATGTACAGTACTGTTGTATCTCCTTTTTAACCTTTCAACTTGGAAAAGTTGATTTCTATGCATTGGAGGCAAAGATTAAGGGCATGTTTGCTGCAGGTTTATGACATGACCCTTGGCTAAATGGATCTCTTCCGTGAAAAGGGAGGGGATTGGGGAAACACCTGTCCCCAGTTTACTCCTGTAGTGTATTTATTCATTTAGTAAGAACAACATTTTAAATATATATATATTTAAAAAATATATATTTTAAATGCCTCATGGGCACAGCAGTAACTATCTTTTTATGTATTTTTGACCTTAACACTATGCCCCCTGGGAGCTGTCAAAATAATATAAGATTTTTCTTAGGATATAAAGGACACATTACCCTCCTCCTGCCTGTATTTTTCCTCCCTGTGGCCACCCCTTCATTCTCTCTCTCCCTGTTAGCAGAATTATTGAAGTTAACTGTTTTACAGAAGTCCCTAACTGTGGTCTTTTCCTTTCCTTCTAGTAATTTATGCTCCTTTGTTTTCTGCTTTTATGATACAGTTTTCTGAATGCCTGGTTACTTTTAGGACTTCTGGGCAAAAAAATTCTATCAGGTTGCTAATAATAGAAATATTTTTTTCTTTCAAATAAAAGAGATGACTTTGAGTATTCAGCATTGACTTTACCTCTGTTACTCTTAAGTTTCTTTACTCATTTCCTTCTCTTAGGTCTCTGTTTTGCCCTATGTAAAATGGGAGTAAAATACTTCCTACGTATTTCACTAGTTCACAAGATTTTTGGGAGACTCAAGTATAGTAATGTTTATGAAAGTATTTTAAAAGAGAGAAGACCTGGCATAGGGTAAGCTAATAATGATATAAAAATTACCCTACCCAACTCAAATATATTTAAGGGAATCCTGTTGGTTTGTCCAACACATGTGTCCTTCCCTGCCATATTGCTCCTTACTCATTCACTTATCTCTGCTTATTTCCCTACTAGAACTTGCCTATCAGAATCTGTCTTTCCTTTTTTTTTTTTGTGTGTGTGTGTGTGTGTGTGATGTTCCTAGTATTATGCTTGGGTCTGAACAGTTACCAAAAGAACATATTTTTTTTTAAATTTTAATGCAATATTTTATTTTTTTTTTAAAATGGATATGGCAATATGTAAATCAATGGATGTGTAACCGATGTGATTCTGCAATCTGTATATGGGGTAAAAATGGGAGTTCATAACCCACTTGAATCAAAGTGTGAAATATGATATATCAAGAACTATGTAATGTTTTGAACAACCAACAATAAAAATTAAAAAAATAAATAAATAAATAAAAAATAAAGAATCTGTCTTTCTTTAGGGCCACATCCTATGTGCTCTTTCCTCCATCATCAAAACCTGTCTGGCCCAGAAGCAACTAATTCTGGCCTTGTGTTCTCTTTAGTACAGGGTGGTTTAGTGGAAAGAATATCAGATCACATGTCAAGGAACATATCCATAACCAGATGAATGTGGTTCTTGATTTCACAGTTTCCTTATCTGTTAAGTAGATGGCAATGCACTGGACCATTCCCCAATGACTCTTTCTGGTTTCAGAGTCTATGATTCTAGAGTGAGTGCAGGTGAATGTGTGTGTCCTCTTGGATCTTATTAAAGTTATAACAGACTTTAGCCCCTGGGAATAAATATATCCATGAACTTTATAGAGGCTAGTAAGATACTTTGCCTTTCTCACCACCCTGCACACTGTGTATGTATCCTGCTGCTCTCACCCACAGGGCAATGCTAGTTTGCTCTCTTAATCCTAAAGCTTATAACAAATCTTTTCTGGTTAACACACTCCCTGGAGAATTCTTGAGAAAGAGAGTTGGGTCTGTCCTAAGTAGTGGTTGCAAAGGATTGTGAAAAAAGCAAACACCTCTGAATTGACTCTTGAATCAGATACCTGTTTTGGAGTCCACGGAGAAATATGGCTGACCCTGGAGAATGCTGTACACCACCCGGGCACTGTTGCCATAGGTCGGGTCATCAGCATCTGTGGCTGTCACCTGGATAACAGAAGTACCTGAGGAAAAGAAGGAGACCTGCTAAAAACTTGATGCAATCCTGAGTCAGTCTTAGAGCATTTGTAGATATTATGTTTGCTTTATAGGCAGAGTCCCCTTTCTAGGTCAGGCTTCCTTAACTCCTACCTTGTACTTGTTTTACAAAATGATAATTATTGTGTTTAAATTCTTAGTAACCAGTCAGTCTTTGGGTCTTCATTGTTTTTTGATAATAGCAAAATGCTTCCCCCTTATGAATCAAATACACACACACACACACACACACACATACACATGCATGTATGTACGTGCCAATCTATTCTTTTGTTTTTAAAGAATCAGAGCTGGAAAACAATTCATTCTTATTATTTACTGTGACTGATTATATGCCTAAGTAGCTTGCTCTCTGCCAAGGGACTTAGTTGTCATTTTGGGTTCAGTTTTGTAATTTGTGAGCTGCCTTGTGCATTGTCTCCTTTTCTGCATCCCCACCACCTGCCCCCATAATGCATTTGCTGTTTGTGAAAGTTAGTGAATCACCACCTTACCCACTGGTGACATTTCTGGCACAGTGGCAACATAAGGTCCGTCTAGGAACTTGGGCTCATTGTCATTGATGTCTTGTATTTTGATGATAAACTCTGACTCTGGCTCCATTGGTCGGCCTGTCCGCCTGTCCAGTGCTTGAGCCCTTAAAGTGTACTGGGCTCTTTCCTCTCGATCAAGCCTCTGAATGGCATGGATGTCACCAGTGGTGTCGTCAATGGTAAACACTATGCCTGCGCCTTCTCCAGAAAGGATATATTTGATGGATCCATCTCCTCTGTCCATATCTGAATGAAGCTGGGAGAAAAAAGCACCAAGATCTCATTGGATATGGACTTAGAACCACCCTTCACCCAGGGATTTTTTTTTTCACTTAAATGTTTAAAATGTCGGTGGGATGGAAAGGGAGAGAAAAGGGAAATTGCATGGTAATGGAGGGAGACCCTCATTGTTATACAAAATTACATATAAGAGGTTGTGAGGGGAATGGGAAAATAAACAAGGAGAGATATGAATTACAGTGGATGGGGTAGAGAGAGAAGATGGGAAGGGAGGGAGGGGGGATGGTAGAGGATAGGAAAGGTAGCAGAATACAACAGTTACTAATAGGGCATTATGTAAAAATGTGGATGTGTAACCGATGTGATTCTGCAATCTGTATTTGGGGTAAAATTGGGAGTTCATAACCAACTTGAATCTAATGTATGAAATATGATATGTCAAGAGCTTTATAATGTTTTGAACAACCAATAAAAAAAATTAAAAAAAAAGTCTGTCTACAAAGAACTAATAAGCTTTGAACATAATTGTATCAAAGAGCAAATAGAGGTTGGTTAATATTTTTTCTGCAACATATTCAGAATCCTGAGCATACTATTTTAAAAGTAATCTTGAGGAATACAGATAGAAAACATCTTGAAAAGTGTAGACTTTTGATGTGTGAATAAAGAAGTCTAGTAGGGAGGAATCTTTTTACTTTTCCATTGAAGAAGAAAAAAATGAAGGAGGAGGGGGTGGAGAGCCTAAATATATTAAAAATTTTTGAAAAATTGCTATCAATTAATTTTTGGAATATAAAAAATTTTAATGTTTGCTGAAAAATTGATGAAGTGATTCATTAAGAGGCTAAGTTTACTATATGGAAATTATTAAATAATTTCCAGGGATTCTTGCAATTCTTTATTTCTCTGACTCCAATTTGGTGGATTTGTTTAGTAGAACTGTGCTTGCCCATGTATTTCACATGTCAAATGGAATTTACCTGCTGGTGAGTATTTTTTTTTTATATCAGTGTATCTCTCCTTTTGATGGGACTTGTCCTTGGATTCATAACTGAATCACTTAAATCTCTGTGTGTGTGTGTGTGTGTGTGTGTGTGTGTGTTTGAGTTAGGGACATGCCTTTATCTTCCCACCAACTATATTCCTCCCAGATAGTTTTATAATAATACTGTAGAGGAGTCTATTTATACCTCTGGCTGAGAAACACATTTCTGCATTAATAATTGTAGGTAATGAGTATGAGTGACAAGAAGCCTAGAATTTTGTGCTGCTTTTAGGTAATGGTCTTTTTATAAAGGGGACAACAAAAATTAGTTAAATTTAATCAACATCACTGAACTCTGTTTTTGCCTGCACTGCTAACACTGCATAGTTCAGTGATGGAGTTTATGAAATTAATTTATAAAACAGACAGCCAGTGTTAAGCTTAGGGCAGAGAGCCAAATATATCTGACCTGAACACTGTCTGTGTCAGTTGTAATCTGAATGCCCTTGACAAATTATTTACTGTCTGTAACCCTTAATTCTTCACATTATAAACAGAGAACAGTAGTAATACTTACTTTGGAGGGTTACTGGGATCATTAGAGATTAATGTATGTTAACACAGTGACTTTCCCATAATAGCAACACTACAAATGGGGCCAGTTACAATGATGATATACCGGCACAGAGAAAAGGGCATTAACATACTCACTCTTCCCTGATTGCATCAGGCCTCCAGGAGTGTAGCCAAGAAGGCAGAGGCAGCTGCAGGCTTTTTAGTTATAGTAGCCTGATGGCTGCCTGAAGCACTGGTGGGGCTGTTTCTCCAAGGACTAACAAGCATGGGAACCGAGAAGACACCTGGAATGTATTCACAACATCCCCAGACAGGGATGGCTTTGGAAGCTGTGACTGGCTGATTGCAAACTGACTTCTGGCCAAGTCCTGCAGGCAGTAATTTTGCTGCCTAAAGGAACTCAGCTATGTCTTATCTAGAAAAGGGAAGTAAGAATAAAACTGACCAGAAAAATAACTGTGTTTTTTTTCTCTAAAAGCATTCTATGTACAATATGAAGTTCTCACCTTTTTTCATTCCATGTACAGTAATTACACGGAATGAAGAAAGGTGAGAACTTATTTTTATTTTTTTTAACAACTCAAATTTTCTCCATGCAGATAAAAAAAGCAGAAGCGCCCAGTTCTTAGTGTGTAGGATAGAAAGATATTTCATTTGGACCTGTGTACAAAGAAATGAAAATCTATTCCATATGGAACTGTGTTCTCTGGTAGAGGAATGGAATTAGGAAAAGGACAAAGATATTGGGATGTTTCTTAAATTAAAGAAGAAAAAAAATATATGTTTATGTGTTTGTTTACTCTGTGTGTGTGTATGTGTGTGTGCATGTGAGAGAGAGAGAGAGAGAGAGAGAGGGAGAATTTTTAAGGCATATGTCATAGGATGTAAAATGAAATAAGCTAATTTAGGGCATGATATATTATTCAGGTTGGGGTGGGGATAGAAGTTGATATAAAGTATGAACTCTGGACTGTTTGAGGAGATCTTTTATCATCTAAAATGTTTTGGCCTGAGAACATTAGAAGGCTAGGAACACTTAGGCTGAGGATGGGTGCTGTGCCCTTGAAGAGTGCCTAACAAACACCAGAAGCTCAGGTCACTGCTCCTGAGGACAGAGTTTTGGTTCCTGGGGTTGATTAGGTTGCTTCATGTCCAGTGTAATCTGGGCTGAATCTCAGCTCTGTTGTCTTTGCTTTCCTCTGTATTGGGAAAGGAATTCCAAGTACTATCTTGACTGTGAATTCCTTGACAGTAGGGCTATATGACCTTCATCTTGGTGTCGGCCCTGACATGTGGTACATGCTCAATAAAATTTTATTGAAAGCATGGTGTTGGGTTAGGGCTAAGGCTTTTTGTAGAGCCATGTTTCCTTTGTTTTAAAAGAGCTATCATCTTTCTGGTGGCTTCTGAGTGTGTGTTTGCATGTTTGCAAGAGAAGGGAGAGAAGGATGAAGAGAGGAAAGATTCCCACAGAGAAGCAGAAGAGGCCTCTCTTGGCCAGGAAGAGCATTAGCTTATGAAGGGGTAGGTACAGACCTTATGCAGAACTGATTTCTGAGGAATAGTTCAGGATTTTGTCAGAGAACAAAACCTACTGTTATTTTAATCAACATCACTAAACACTGAACATTGATTTTGGAGGACTGAAAAGGCAAGAGGGGAACACTGAGGATCAGAATGATAGTAATTCCAGGAAATAACTAAGGCCCCTGTGGCAGAGAAAAGAAGAGCAGGAGTTGGAGCTCCCACCTTTGGAGGAGGCACCTTGGAGGCTGGGCCAGGCTTCTGAGTAGAGAGAGTTGCTCCTGATCTGGAACCTCAGGACTTAGAGGAGTTCACCCCTCTCCAAGTCCTGCAGACTTGTGTCGGGTATTGCTGAGTGGGTGTAATGGGGCTGAGAGTGAAGAAGCCTCCAAACTAGAACCAACTGCTGGGAAGTAAAGGAGCCAGTCCCTTCTTCCATTTCCAGCCTCTCATCCTCCCTCTGGTACATTCTAAGGGTAGAACCTATGGGGAGCCAATTAGAAAAAGAGATTGTGGCTTGCAGAGTCCCATCACACATCACACAGTGGAGTATGAAAAGGTGATTACCAGGGTGAGACACTAACGAGCTTAAAATCAACACAGTAAATATACGGAGTATTGGGGTTTAACAGCCAGAGAATATATATTTGGTTGCAAAAATGCAAAGAGGAACATTAATAGCTTTTCTTAAAGTCACTCAACAAATTGGCAGTACAATGAAAATGAGTTTTATATTTATCCCTATTTAATCTAATTAACATTGAATACTATTCAGAGGAAGCAAGGGTCTTCTTGCACAGTGGAGGTGGAAGCATACAGTTATGTATGTCTTGGGCAACCCCCCCCCCCAAAAAAAAAAATCTAGACAGAATAAGATAGTTGGTATCTTATTTATCCTAATAATTATTTAGATTTAAAAAATTTTTTTTAAATTGTCACTGGACCTTTATTTTATTTATTAATTTATAAATATGTGGTGCTGAGAATTGAATCCAGTGCCTCACACATAGGCAAGTGCTCTACCACTGAGCTACAACACCAGCCCCAATTCTTTAGTTTTTAAGATCTTCATCGAAAGGAGTAGCAAGTGATGGAAAAAAAATCTCCAAAATCTCTATTGATTTAGGATTTTGAAAACTAGGGTGATAAGCCTTGCTCTGGCACATGCCAGCAACTTTGGAGGCAGGGAGATTGTAACTTGGGCAAGTTAGCAGACACTGCCTCAAAATAAACAAATGACTGGAGACATAGTTCTGTGGCAGAACAACCCTGGACCCAGGGTTCAATCTCTAGTATAGTACTGCACCAAAAAAAAGTAAAAATATATGTAAAGAAAACAAATAAAAATTGGTTTTCAGAGTGTTTTCTGATGCTCTGAAAATTTAGAAAGTGCTACAGTTGTGGTTAGTGACCATGTAGTTGTTAACCTCAGCATGACTTGTACTCAGATTCCTGTAAAAGCACAGGCTCCATCTTCTTTTTGCATATGTCAGTGTAATCTAGCCTTAACTCATGCTGCCGGTTCCTAGAAAGCCCAGTGTAGATTTTATAAGGCCACACCAATTATAGTTGATAATTGTTGCCGTGCTCCTTCCTGAAGTAGGCAAATACTCTGGCAGTTTCTCTAAACAGACATGTTTTGGAGCTCAAGGTGAAAAGGTGAATGCCCCCAGGATAAAGAGAATGAAAGGTGGATGAATTTTCTTTCAAAAGAAAGTGAAAGGGGATGTATAACTCTCTTCATGTGGAGGTAACATGCCCAGGGCAGGGTAAAACCTTCCCCCATTACTGGTGTGCTGACTGGACCAGATGACTGCTGAGGCGTGTGGCTGTCCTGTGTTCGGATGGAGGTAGTCAGGACAGGATGAGCACTCAGTCCTCCAGGGTGCTACACAGCTAAATCCTCCGGAGCATCAGTGATAAAGGGTTCAAGAAGCAGTCAGGCTGGTTACATGCCTATCTCCCTGTGTGTCCTCAGGGCTGAGTCTTTAGGTCACTAGCCACATGAAGGGTAATGTAAAGGAAATCCCATGGCTTTCGTGTAAGAGCGATAGATGTCTTGATCCAGGCTTTACCTCCTACTTCGGTATAACTTTGGGCAAGAATGTAACCTTGCCAAGCCTAGTTCCCTAGGTTAATTATACTTATCTCTACTTATCTCACAATATTGTTATAATGATTAAATGACCTGCTTCAGGTGAATGTGACTGAAACAGTACTGTGGTACTGTTTGTGGTAGTCCAATAAAATCTTAGCTACCCTTGCCTTCCTGCTATGGTAGGTCTGGGAGGTGTAGACAAGATTGGGGAGCAAATATCAGTTTCTATGCTTTGAAGGAGGGAAGAGAGTCATAAATTGTATAGACCTACAAAGCAATTACTTGATCCAAATGTATTCTTTTCTTAAATTTATTTTAGCAATAGCCATAAAAGACGTGTCTTAAAAATATCAAAGAGTAGAAGGCTTTGGAATTCTGAGTACTTGGAAGATGTGTTCATGACAGAAGTGGCTTTTAAGCTGAGACCCTAAGGAATCGGAATGTGACTTAAGAGAAGAGATGATAGCATATCCTTGGCAGGACAGTCACATGGGCACACATCTGGGGTGAGTACTGATGGATTGGGTGTGCCTGTAAGGAATCTGGCTTGGGTGCAATGAGTTCCTAATTTGAGAAATTGTGGGAGGGGGTTGGATAAGGGAGGAGGAATCTTTGAACCTGTGCCAGGAGCTTGGCTAAACATTCAAGAGTTGCAATACTTTCTTAATCAGAGGAGCAACGTGCTGGAGAAGGTGCTTTGAGGGGATAAAATGTCCTGGGCCCTGAAAGAAGGGTGTAAGGAACTTCATACAGGGAGACAGGCAGCGTCTGCTCAGTTAATCTAATCACAAAGAATGGAGGATAACAGTAATGACAGCTAGGAGAGGAGGAGGTAACTCTCAGAGAGATTGGCAAGGAAGTATGGACAGATACAGTGACTAATCGTACATGAACGATAAAAAGATAAGAAAAGAGAAGTGAAAGAAACTCAGGTTTTGAGGCCATGGGGTTTGCAGCTGCATTAGGTATGCATTAGGAAGCTGCTAAATTCCCATAATGAACTCCCTACACTGCTGCTGCTGCTACTTATTTCCACAAGGTCATGACGATTAAAATTTTACTCTGGACCAGGTACTGTGCTAAGCATTTTATATACATTAGTTTTTCTAATCTTTACCAAGACACAAGGTGCTCACTTATTTATCCTCATTAAATATCTTTTTGAGCATCTTGTATGTGACAGATGCCACATTAGACCTTGGAGATAAAATGGGAGCAATATCCGTATCGTATTCATCTTCTGGTCTAGTCAGGGACTCCAGACAATGAACATGTAAATGAAAAATAAATATTGTGGGTTGTGATTAAAGCTGTGAAACCAATGATGATGAGAGAGTAAATGAGGGACTCCCCCTGAGAAAGGCCAAGGAAAAGGAGAAAGAGGAGCCAATCATGGGAGAAATCAGAGAAGAACATTTAATTATGGAGTAACAACAGGAAACACTTGACACGTTGTAGGAACTGCCAGAACGTCATGTCTCTGGAACAGAACAAGAGCAAGAGTAGCATAGGTCATGGCTGGATGCCAGAGACAGGCCAGGTCAGTAAACTGTGGGGAGCTTTAGGAGGGCCTCCTTCCCTTCCAATGGGAAAACATCAAAGAGATTTAAAGACTGATGTAATCTAATATACTTGCAAAAAAAATCACATATGGAGAATATGTTGGAAGGAAGTGCAGGTGCATACAAGGAGACTAACAGGTAGGTATTTGCCAGGTGAGAGGTAATTATGGAAGTAGAGATGAGAAAGATGAAGGATTTTGGAATTATTCTGGCATAGAACTAACAGAATTGCAGATGGAGAGAATGTGGCATTTAAGGAAAGGAAAGAGTGACTACTAGGTTTTTGTTTTTTTAAATAGGGTGATGGTAATGTTGAGATAGGGAAGACTGGAGCAGACTAGGTTTGAAAGGAAAAACTAGCGTTCCTCATTGGACATGATATGTTTTAAAGACCTGTGAGTCATAAACATGGTGATATCACATATGTAGCAAGAGTATGATGGGTAGTTTTAGTCAGAGATGGAGATTTTACACTTATTCACATAGAGAAGGTATTTAAAATTACAGGAGTGGCTCATCCACCAGGGAAGGAGTGTGATTGGGGAAGCGCCTAGGTGAATCATACAAACCCAGCAATGATAGAGACCGAAAGAGGGGACCGGTCAATGAGGCTGTGAATATAGGAGGAAAACCAGGATTGTGATGGTCATGATATTGATAGAGGAGAAAGAAACGGGAAGGAAGGATGGGTGAGGATCTTTAAAGCTGTCAGTAAGAGGTTCCATAAAGTGAAGTCATTGGATTGGGCAGTAGGTAGGTCCTGCCGAGTGGTGAAAATAGTGCAGAGGTAGGGACAGAGCCAGGTAACCGGGTTAAGGAGTGAGTGGGAGTTGGAGAAGATCTCAGGCAGACAACTCCTGAGAAGTAGCAACTCTTGAATTCTTTTGTTCTCCTCATTGGACAGTTGAGGAGGCATGGCTAACAGGGCTTGGTGACCTCCAAAGTCTTTCTGAAAGTACCCAGTGAACCCAGGCTTTGAACCACAGGTGTTTGAGTCTGAAACTCATGCTTTTAGCTTTGGGGATAAACAAGTGTTTTAAAGTTACCATTTGAATGAATTATTTATTTTCTAATTAATTCCTTGTCTCCCATTCTCTCTCACTTGGTTGCTTTCACAAAATGGTCTCTGATTAACATCCAAATAAAGTAAACACAGTAGAGAGCCAGGATTAAAAATGAAATTATGATAGATAAATCAAGGGAATTCAAGCATAAAGTTTATAAATATATTCATTGATTGTCTCCATCTGTCCTAAAGCACATGCTAGGATATCCTGAAATGAAGAATGAAGAATGTTTTATTCTTTTTTTTTTCCATTGAATTTGGGCCTTAGGCTATACCTGTGGACATGCTTTGAAAAAAAAAACAAACAAACAACAACAACAACAAAAACAAAACAAAAAAACAAAGCATAAAACCTCTTCTTTCCCCTCCATGTTTCCCTTTTTCTCTTCCCATCCTGTCATTCCCAGGGGGCTGCAGTTGCCCCTGTTGGGACTGGCTCTTGGAAGGGTCTAAGGCATTTCCTCTAAAACCCCCATTTTAGTTTCTGTTATTTGAACATAGGGATGGACAAGGAAAAAAATCTTTCCTTTTTAACTGGTGTCTGACAGAACAAAAGCTATATTTTATACTTGACATGCTAGGGGTCAAGGAACATGCCACTAGTTAGGCCTCAGGCACAGGCTTAGGTGAGCATTTATACTCAGTTTGTATTTATATTCAGTTGTTACATCAGATATGCTGATAATTTATCTTTCTGCTGGGTGCATCTTACCTTGCCAACATACAAAGGGTCAGTCCCAGTGTACTCTTCCAGAACGAAAAATTGGTTCCAAACCCAGCTCCTCTTGGTTCGCTGATGTGACTGTGGCTTGTCTGACAGGAGTGTTTCTAATTCACCTTGTGGTGTTGAGTTGCCTGAGAGAACGGTGGTTGTAAGGTCCATCAATCCCCAGAAGTATAAGGACATGCCAAGTCCAAGCCAGCTCTTTGCATTGCTCATTCTACCAGAAGTCCACATGGGATTGCAGGATTTTGGAAAGAAAACTATAGGACGATAAGCCACTGGTACTCGAGTATTTTCCAAATTAAAAAGTTTATTGGATACGGATGCTTTCCAAATGAGATCCTGATTCAAGTCAGTCTGCTTGAAGTTAACTTCCTGTCAAATTAAGGAAACACAGTGTGATGATGTCAAATTCTTTTCCTATGGGCTGGTTGCAGGCTTTCAAGAAAAGTCAGTAAATATTCAGTTTTCTACTCAATGAATTAAAGAGTTGACTAGAAATGCTTTAGTCAAATATAATATTTTGGTACAAAGAAGACAACATCCCACTCCTTTGGATATGGATTCAGTGGAAATAAAACTAGTGAATAGCTTTCTTCTCAGGACAGCTTAACTGGAGGGTATACTGTATTATTGATTGGTTTGAAAATTAAAAGTACTTTCTTTGAAATATTTGTACTCAGCTAGTCTTCTGAACCCTTAAAAACAGTGTTCACTTCCAAAATTTAGTTAATAACTATATTTCAATTGCTTTTCTTGGCTTATTAAAAAAACAGTGAAATCACCCCCCCTCGCCCTGTTATCTTGTGCCTATCTCTGTTATTGATAATGCTAGGAGTCTCAGGCTTCATTTCTAAGCAGTCATGGATCACTTCTGACTTTAGCATTCTCTGAGCTCATGAGAATTCAAGATTCACACTCTAGTGCTTCAGCTTTGAAGCACTGATAGGGGCTGCTAATGTGACCTTTGTAGGACATTGAATGGTCAGTTAATCATTATATCCTTCCCAACAGACTTCAGAGTGCTATTAGTCACATGCCACATGAGTGAGCTAAGAGTCTATCCAACAAATTCCCTTTCCTGACCTGAAAGACTCATTTAGGCAAAAGGATGTTACTTCTACCCAACGGAGACCTTTCATCAGTCAGACTTCTTTTGTTGCTATGAAGTTGGGTTTAGCTGGTGACCTCACTCCTGGGCTATGACTTCATCAACCTTTTCTTTCCTTACTTGGTTGGGTTTAATGAGGTGGCATAACACTCAAGCCATACTGTCAAAACAACCAAAATGTTTTCATGAGCTAAATATTTTCACTGTTAATTTGAAGAACTGCTGTCATGTATTAGAACAAATATGTATATTTGGGGACTTCAGATCTATGCAACTAAATAATTTTCCTTTTCTGAAAGAGACTTAAAATGAATGCATTGATTCTAATTCATTTCTCCTCTTCCACCTGTCGTCATCAGAACTTGTTTTTGCTTTCTATTATTCACTATTTAAATATATCTTAAAATATACTATTTTAAAATATCTTATACTCATTTTGTACAATATGTTATTTCATTGCTGTGTAAGAGTGCCTAAGTACTCATATCACTTATTTTCTTTGACCAGTTTTAGCAGCTTGCTTTGGATGTGAGTGTGCATTGTGTGTGGGTATGTAAGTGTTCCGTATTCTGTTTCCACTGGCTAAATTTCATGGACAGAATGAATTTTGGGAGATGTAAAGTAGTGCCCTTTATGTTTCCCCATTTCTTACAAACTGTACATACATTCTTACTAATTAAACCCCACTGAGTTTACCTGTAGGTGTGATCTGAGGAGCTCAAGAAAAAAAAGTATTCATTGGAAACTTTGTGATGAACATTTTGTAGGCAGTTCAGTTGCCTCAGCTTTCATCTTCCTCTCTTGCTCACTTGGGCCTCCTACAAACTAATGCAAAGTTCTTATTTTTTTTCCCTTTCACTGAACACATACAAAAGTGGCTTTGGGGTCCATAAGGCCTGCAGATCCCTTGGTGATCCTGTGAGACCCCATGGTCCCTGGACTTCTCAGATTCAGTAACAAAGACTGCTACCTGTTAACTCTTTCTTTCTTTCTTTTATTAGTTGCTCATGACAATACAATGATCTTGACGTATCATACATTTGATTCAAATGGGGTATGAATTCTCATTTTTCCACGTGTACAGGTTGCAGGATCACATTGGTTATACGGTCACGTTTACACATACAGCAATACTAGTGTCTATTTTATTCTGCTGCCCTTCCTGTCCACCCCCTCCCCTCTCCTCCTCTCCCATCACCTCTCTCTACCCAATCTACTGTGACACATTTCTCTCTCTTTTTTTTCTTCCCCCTCACATCGTCATACATGTATTTTGTATAACAAGATCATGGCATTTGCAGGGAAATGGATGACATTAGAGCAGATTATGCTAAGTGAAGTCAGCCAATCCCTGAAAAACAAATGCCGAATGTCTTCTCTGATATAAGGGAGGTGACTCAAAATAGAGTAGGGAGGAAGAGCATGAGAAGAGGATTACCACTAAATAGGGAAGAGAGGTGGGAGGGAATGGGAGGGAGAAGGGGAATTGCCTGTTAACTCTTTCTATGTTAAAGAACTTAATGGAGACATTTGATAGAAAGGATATATTTCTGCTTCCTGAGAGTGAAATGCATGAAAAACACTCCTTGTACACCTTTTTAGAAAGTAAATATTTAGTTATACAGTAATTACTTATTTTTATCACCATTCAAGCTGCTTTTATACAAATGAAGGGAAAAATTAGTTCTATCAGAAACATTAACCAGTTTGCAGGTATTATAAATGATATGGTTCTCATATTCATTTTTTTTGTATGGATATGAATAGATTATGTGTTTGGGGGGTAATTGTTGTTCTTATAAAGGAAGATACTGATCTATGAATATTTGTATATATAGATCTGTTTAGGAAGACTACATATGCCACATGAAGAATACATTAGTGGAAATTGACTTTTGTGTTAAATGAGTCTTTTAAAAGAACCCCCCCCCCCCAAACACACCCTTCCTAAAGAAAGTGAACAGCTTGGTAATGAACACAGTTGGAAGAAATTAAAGTTGCATATAAAGTGTGCTCTCAGTAAATTGTTTATTTTGTTACTTAAATTCATTGTGATATTTAAAACGTAGTGGGGAGAGATGGTTACTGCTTTCTTCTTGAAATGAACTGGGTTTTTATGGTCTTCCTCTGATTTCTTTCCTCATTATTCTAGTTTTACTGAGCTTTTCAATGTTTAGTGGAAGTACTATCTAGAAAAGCTCTAGTGATATCTCTGTAGAAGCAGCCAGCAACTGTTAGCTACTCCTCATGTGAAGGTGGGGTGTTTAAAGTTCTGATATGGCCTAATACCTTCACTAAGGGAAATGTAGATAGTGGTGTCATGGTTTTAGGCAGCTAAACTTCTTAAGCTATCACCTTTACTTATAGAAAGAGCCTCAAAAGTACACTTAAAAGAAAAAAGAGACTTTATGGAAATATTAGATATTACAATGAAACATGTCAGTGTACCATAAGGTACATCAACATCAAATCAGAATACAAAAAACTCTATGTCACAACATTATTCTGCCTCACAATCAAGGATTTTTCTTGAGAAATATGAGCATGTTCATTTTACTTAGGAGTCAAAAATCTTTCAACATAGATTACAGACTCCCAGAGAATGATATAGGTGTCACAGTCTAGATGGGAATGAAAGTTCATGTAATGATAGATAATATTTGTGGCTCATGAACAACAATATCTTCATTGTGGAATTTCATAAAATATATTTTCAGTGCCCCTGTAACTAAACTTTGAGATTACTGGTTTTGTTTACATATATCTGTGTCAATGACCCAGATCTGCCATCAGGGATCTGTTTGGGGAAGGTGTATAATATGATTTTGTATGTTGAAAGGTGAGCTGTTCTTTGACCAGAAGTCATTTCATTTACTGCAGTGGTCCTGTCCATCTCCATTTCTTCCTAGGGGGCAGTCATTAGACGAGGACAAGCTCCATCCCTCATTGTGACCATCAACTCATCAGCCTTCCCAAAGCCACTTATCCGTGAAGGCAGTCAAATTTCAGTAGAGCCAGAAGAGTTACCCAGCTACTAGATTTCCTGTATTTTGAGTTGTGTTCTCACCTCCATTTCCCATCACAGGCCTCACCTGGCTCACAGCATCCCCTTTTCCCAATTTAACACTTCTGAAATGGGGTGTGTTTTAAAATAAGTGTATATATATTTAATGTACCCATATTTTATTCCTTCACCACTCAGAAATTGTTAATTAACTGATGGTGCATATAGAACTGAGGAATTACGATGTTACTTAACAATGAACAAAGAAAAAATGAAGAATACTTAATTTCTATGGTGATTTCTTGGAACAGGTGGTCAAAAGTCTTGCTTATTCAAATTTGGCTACTTAATTCTTTTCTTTCTTCTCCAAGTTCCTCAAAAACTGGAAATACTGAGCCTAGAGATTCAGCTTTCATAGTACTCACTCAAACTATTGTCAGTTTTCTTTCCTGTTCTGACTCCTCTTTGCCCTCCCTTTCTTTCCCAAAACCAAACTAATTTATGGGAGGGAGTGGTGTCTTATAAATGGAACTGTTGGGTTCCTGTGGTGGGGAAAAGGTTCAAGGTGGCTTAATTGAAGTTGCGAAGCAATATCTAGTTTTATGGAAGGATAGGGATATAAGTGTGCTTGTGTGCATATACGGATGAGAGGAATAGAACAAACAAACACAAAAGGAGTAGAAAGCTTGAATTATACAATTAAGAGCTGGCTTTGAAAAACACGATTGGTTCCATCATGAGACCTGCTTTGTGTCTTCTGTGTGCATGTTGACCTGCTAGCTATAAATTCCCTTGCTTGGGTCATGAGTAAAGGCATCCCCACTTTAGAAATCCTCTGCTCAAGTTCATGCTTAATTTCTCTCTGCTCTTCATTCTCATTATAATCACTTTTTCCAGTTGAGGGTACCCTGTCTTTCCTTCCTTAGCCTCCAAGACTGGCAAATAGATTCTTACTGATCCTTTCACACATACTTAGTATCTAGTAAATGTTTTAATCCTCAAGGAGTCAGAAAGTTTTTGACCTACTTTACCATTCCTCTAGTTTTCACTTTTAATCAAGCTTATGAAAGTACAGTCCAGTCCATGGGCAATTTCTTTGACAGCAGTTAGACAAGAATGATCAATTTTGATTTTTGAGAATTGTCCCACATGGTCACTAATGTCTCATCTTATGAGGCATTTATAATTGCATTAAATTTGTGCTTGTTCATTAAAAAAGCATGTATTTGAAACGTAATCCTTTGGCTAATGTTCTTCTTTGATAAGAAGTTGCAAATAATTG